TTTTCTCTTTTTCTTCCCACTAGATCTAGACACCTCAGAGGACATAGCAGGTGAGTAGAAAAGCCTAGATCGGATAAAATACATTCAATTGACTGATTCAAGAGGAAACAAGACACTCACAGAAGTATACTAGAAAAGGAACAACATAAGCCGTAGGCCTTCAGTCCTTACTATATAATTCTGAATCTAGTGTGTTTTAGTTTCTCGAAGACATTTGCCTTCTCAAGGTTGCCCGTCAAAGGTTTGTATCGGGCACTTGCATTCAGATGGTACTGAGTTTTCTGTCAGAGGGTTTGGGCATCACTTCACAATATCTTCATAGACTGTATGAACTGATCTGATTTGTCTTACACTGTGTTTGCCGCAGATAAAAATGACTAAGGAACGATCAATATGCATGTCGTAAGCATGGAATTTATTGCATCATACATATTGGCTTTAGGCAATTGATTCTGTTTACTCTCATTCATGCCACTTTAACTGCATATGAAGCATTTCTCACAAAAACGTTGGAGTTTTGATTCATTTCCGTCATAACTATGCAACTAGATGGGATGGACTCACTTATTAGTTGCTACGTTGACTCACTTCAGATCCTTCCTTTGGAAATACAGTCCAGAATAACCGCATACCTTCAGTCAGATCTACAACAACGTCACTTACTAGCGCTAGCTAGGCGCACTGTGGATGAAATGCAAAAGTCCATGGAGCAAAGTACCAAAAGGAAGCATTTGGACCAACTCATATATGTTTTAGTTGCGATCCAAAACATATGCGACCGTCGAATCAATGATCTGGATGAAGTAAGTTCAAAAATTTGCTGCAAATGTCTGACGTTTACTTAGGAATCTCTGTAGAACTTGTCTAATGTCTATTCTCGGTGGTTTTCCTATTATTAACTCATCGACTATGAACGAATTCACATACTCGGCTCTCCTTCACTTCAAGTGTGAGGCCTGGTGATATTATTCGTTTTTCCAGAGCTTTATAAAGAAAATCTGGATTCACACCTGCTATCTAGTTTCCGGAAGTCAAGCATCATAACCACTGAGTCACCGTCTCACAATTTTCCTCTTCCGGGTGTTTGACTGGCATTCTGGCTTTCGCACTAGATAGAAAAATAAGACACCTCTGCTATTAATATCACCCAATAGTTACTACTGTGTTCGACCGAATGGTATTTTGAAAACTTAGAAGGGTCGAAAGACTGGTTGCTTGTTCAGTTTCTGAATAAGCGATCATATGTAATTGTGTGTGGGAGCTAGTGCAATTAACAGACATCTAACACAAAGAAGTTGTTATGATAACCGTCTGCTACATCTTTCCTGCGACCACTAGTTTTCTGGGAATTATCAAGTTCAGGTTAAAGGTCTAATATTGTCGCTTTGGAGTAGAGGTTGTTTCGGGGTTCTGGAATATGTGGTCAATTCCAGATAGTGTCAGTTGACCTACCCTCAGTCAGTCAGTCAGCCACAACGTAGGACCAGGGACATATATGCATCGGTCCGAGTTGCCATACCCTGATAAACACAAAGTGAATACACTGCTTATTTCAAATGTCAGTGTCAACTATTTATTTGAAACAGATTCAGGTGGCACCTGAAAAGCAGTCAGCCAGGAGAAACATTAAACGTGTCTTATGTGCATCACCTGAATTCACTTCATCAATACAAAAAAAGTAATTACCAAGATAACTACTGAAGTGGTACAAGCAGTTGTGGTAGTAGTAATAAAATCTTTAGTAAAGAAGACGGATGATGTGACGAGTTCGGAAGCTTATCACGATTGGCTCTGAAAGTGGCAGTTGTGTAGACCTAATATTAATCCTGGCACAGCGTGTTGTTTATCTATCGTCGAAACAAACTGACTCAGTCGTTAAAACGTTTAACCAAACCATTAATTCAAACATCCGAATTCTATCCCTACCCCCAAGGACCATTTCACGTAACTAGATTTGACGCGAAAATATTTACATCAAAGGAGAGTAAACAAATCCGTTTTATTGGTTTTCTAGATATAATTTGTAATGAAAATAAGAAACTAAAGCCATAGGTAGAACGCTTTTTGGGAACGTCCAACTAGTCGTTAGCTACTCCCTATCCACCCACAAATTGGATGTTATTAAAGTCATTATCAAAGTAATCAACCAATGTTGAAAAAACACCAAGTACCATAACTATGCACAACATCCCAAACTCAGAATTAACACAATACTAACCGCCTCCAAAATGGGCTATATTTGTTACTAGGGGATGTTCAATGTAATGGGACACCAAGATACTCATCACTTGAAGAAGGACAGTTGTAGAAAAACAGTAAAAGACGAAATTTAGATTCAGTACGCGATTAGGAAGTGTTGAAGAATACAGTTCACAACCAATATACATTCTGCTCAATACGAAGGTACATCTTATTGTTTTTGAGTAACATTAAAAAGTACAGCAACATAATTACTGATTTTTGAATTCACGTCTAATTATCCCCCCAAACTATTAAATCACATGATCTTCAAGAGTTTAAGCTAAGAAGCTAATCGAAAATAACTTTACTATTTTTCAGAGCTGTTATAAGTTGAACCCCTTTGTTATTTACACACATGTCAGTAAGTAATGAACAATATGGAGAGTTGTTAAGACGACGCTTGTAAAATATGTCAAAACTGTGAACCTGGTGTTTCTAAGTGAAAGCACTTAGTACACTGCTTTGAATGTTGCCTTGATGATTAACACGTTATAGGTTAAAATAATCAACAAGGTTCTCATAGATAAGTGATGTACAATAATATGGTGTGTCCGACTAATGGCTTCTCACGAAACGGTTTTTAAGCAAACTCACCAGTGAACTGATGAAAGGACAACATATCCCAACAGAATGGAATCCTTTTAGTAAAATGATGTACCCGTTGACAAAGTCTGACTCATGATCACTGCAATTATTACCTAGCTTGAAGTATTCTACTACGATTTAGAGAGGTGATAATTTCACACCATACATAATTTTTAGCAAAACATTTGTTCCCTGCAGTTATCTCGTTCATGCTACTTATTAGTATCACAGATTTTTCTTTTAAAATCCCCTAGCAATGAAATGCTCCGATAAGTAATTACTTTTATGGGGTATTCCCGCTCACTTAAAACTCAAACACTGGGCATGTTATTCACAACACACTTCGTAGAAATGTTAAGTTTTTTTGTGTCACTGTACTCTTCGTTCCTCGACCTCACTCATCCCTTCTTAACTTGTACTTGGGTTTCCACTGCAGTAAATAATAATAACCTCTCTCTAATCACTAAATTGCTGGATGTGCTGGTGTAAAATGTAGTTATGATGCACATTAAGGATTTTAACTTATCGATGACTGGTTCAATTATATGTTTACCACATTCACTCAACTATTTGTTGTTTCTCATTTTGCTTAATTATTTCTTGAGAATATGAGATTGTGTCAAGTAGTTGACAACTAGATTTGTCACTGTATGCTAGTTGTCATGAGCTACCGTATATAACTTTTTAAATCTATGTAAATTACGAAATTCGATATTTTTTCCACAAAAAATTTTCATGTCTGATTTTGCCACAATCCTTTTACACTTTTTAAAATTTTGTTTGAAAAATTTATTCAGTTGGATGAAGTAATTGAAACCCATTCTTTAAAGCTGATGAATGCAAAAATGAAAGTTGATACAATCGATCCTCAACGTACTCGTTCAAATACGGAAAATGTCCCTGAAAGTGAAGTCGGTACCAGTGATCTAGAAGTGTCTAATCCCCAATACAATTGCAATTTACTACGGCGCAACTTATCTCAGGAATCAAGTTTCGATAAGTGCACTAGCTACTCTATACTAAACACACGATGTAGTGATGTAAGCATACGAGGTAAAGAACGCTTCCCATTACGTGCTGTTAGCACTAATAGTCGAACTGCATCACGTCGATCACTGAATAAATGGGTTCCCGGCGTTCATCGCTTCAAGCCTGCTAATTCAATGGGCAATAGAAATGCCAACAACTCTCTAAAGTCCAAAGGTGATGCTAACAATAAGTCATCAAATAGGACTTCAGTGGAACTCAAACAACATAAAGTGGGTGTAACATATACTCGTTACTCTCGAAGTCAACAACAGAGATTCAAAAGTCATCGTGTATTGCCAAGATCACTTCACCCGAACCGTGCAAGACCTCAGTACTTAGAGTACGCTATGCTGAGACATGGTTCTCGGAAAAGAAGAAATACGGTGTCGAAATATACTAATCCCGACTCTTCTCGAAATTGTGAGGAAACAAATCTCGTAGGTAGTGTGAAGCGACGACATGAACAAAGCCATCCTAGCTTTTACAAAAACGACAATTGTTTTGGTTCATCTAGTAAATCAATAAGTGATTTAAATATTGAAGATAAAACAGAAGAGAGTGATGTATATACCCTACTTAGTTTAAAGAGCCCAAAAAGGTTGGGAGATAGGTCATCTGATTGGAATAGCAGTTATAATGAAAATGTGGCTGATGTAGATTGTAGTGACAGCAATGGTCATACCACATATGACATGGGATGTGATCAAAACTGTTCTTCGCAGGAAACACAAGTCATCAGAACACTAACTAATCAACTAACAAACGCTCAAAGTGGTGAACCAAGTCGTCAAAAGATGTATAGACTCCGACGAGCTAGTAACAATGTACAGTCAACACAATCGTATCACAGACCCAATTCATCTTTCCCACCTGCATCACCAGAACATGGATCTAATCGCAACTGTTTAACATCTCAGAGTCTTAGCCACGGCAACGCTAGGCGAGGATGTCGAAGTAATAACACCGTACGTCACAAAATGGATCTTCAAGTAAACACACGGTCTCCTCCAGGAAATTCATTTAAGTATGGATCACATGCTGATGATATGAATGCATTTCGACACAAAGTAATATCGGAAAACAGCCCTAGTCATAGTATGAGTGAAGCAAGCGTCAGCCCAGATGAGCGTCTGTATTGTATATGCCAAAAAGTATCATTTGGCGATATGATAGCTTGCGACAACAAGTTCTGTGAGGTTGAATGGTTTCACTTCTCATGTGTAGATGTCCGGGTTCAACCTAAGGGCAAATGGTATTGCCCTTACTGTCGAGGAGAGTCTTCGAAAATAAAAAGATCCGATATCTAGTGTCGTTTTCACCCCCCCCCCTTAGAATCCATTAAACAAATAAGGATTTTGCAAAAGCCAAGTCGTGGAGGTAATGCATAATTATTATTGTTTCTTCAAGTAATATTAAAAATTGACTTTCCCCAAACCTTCTATAACTTTCCTGGTTTCCAGTAATTTTGAACGAGCTTTTTGGTATGCTTCTGAATATTGAATAAGGACGTATATTAAAGTATAACCTACTTATTATCGTTGAAACATCCATGTGTGCAAGTGCTATCCTGTAAAAACATTCTTTATTAATCTTCAAATAGAGACCACCTACCTTCTTTGCTTCTCATCACCCGTTGTTGGACATCTGCTCATGGTCCTGTATAGATTGGACCTGCATGTAAAAAAAACTCAGTTTCACTTCTCACGACAAAACTGCTCTTTATTCTGCACAAATTTATTATTGTTACCTACCATTTAGTATAATTTCTGAATAGAAAATATCTTCATTCTATAAACTTTTTTGCTTACTGACAAGTGTATGGTGTATTTCTAGTATCGTATCAATAAGGTAGCGAATTTCCTAATTGGAAGTCCAATTGCTAGGATTATTGCTCGTATACTAGGTAAATGCGGCAAACCGACTGACGAGGTACTAAATCTTTATCGATCGAAATAATGAGGATATGAGTTATGTATCCCTAAACACCCCCTACCTCTACGGGCCATTTAAGGTATAGTAGTAGGCTAGAAGAAAGCTCTGGGTAGCAAAACTAAGACTTGGCACCAGTTGATGAAGCCATCAACAATTGGACTGAGCTATGTTAATAGGTTTAGACCTCCCCAGCTGGGATTCGCGTGATTATTGTAACTAATGGTTAGAGACTTGGCGTGACATGGCTCAGAATCGTTCGCAATGGGATAGGTGCATTCATTTTTTGGGTCAAGGTCTTGTTGCTTACTATAGTCAGTGTCACAAGCTCTTCAAAAGTAAATTTTAAAAATGTATGGATTACTATTTATCTTGTAAAAAACGGATGGATGTCTGCAGATTGAAAATGGAGTAGTCCAGCTTGCAAACAAAAAGAGCAGCTGATGGATATTGATTTAAAAAGATCACTGCAGTTAGGTAATGGGAATGTGCACAGAAGATTAGTTTTCAATAATTCTAGAGCTGTTTGGCTACTTACCAGCTTTGGATTGCACAATTTAGATTCAGAAATAGTTTTCCCGTGCTTTTTGTACGAAATCCATATTTCGCTAGGTTATTGCTCTGGAAATGTAGGGAAAGTCGTTTTAAGCAAACAAGCATGGACATCTAGTAATAAATAAAGCATTTTATAAATTGTACTAAGTGGGAGGGACTTATGTATTTAATGCTTGTACCTATAACGGTTAATTCAGAAATTCCATCCAACTTAATGACCGAGGTCTCACCATCTTAATGGCCACCAGATAAGTGAAAAGAAATATTTTTGTAAACCAACTTCAACACTAATAATTCGGTGTCGGTCCATGAGTGGAGTATTGAGTGAATTAAATTTTACTGTCGATACAAACCAGTCTACAACTACCTTAAGATGAGACACTGCTTTACATTGAAACTGGATGGTGACCGCTCAACTGTAGATTGTAAAAATGTCTTTTCAGATTCCCATCATTTTAGAATAACATTGTCGACGCTCACTTTAAATTTTGTACGTTGTTTGAAACAAACTTATTGATAATGAATTTGATAAGTTTGATTATGTCTTAGAAAATCTTCGGCGCATCCTCGTGATTGAGATCTGTGACCGCAGGGTCAGTCAGTAACAACGTAGAACTCCGTACATACGTACATCAGTTCGAGTTGCCACACCACATTAGCACAGAGATGCAGTTATCGATTAAAATCCCGTAATGGTAGAGGTGGTAAGTGTATAAGCAGTAATCGGGAAGATTAGGGTTTGAAGATGTTATTTAAAGAGTATAATCCAGTGAAATAGATTTGGGAAGAGACAACGAGGAATCAGGAGATTAGAATTTGGGAGAACACAAAGAGTGGATGCACCTGCGCCATCGCAAACGATTTTGAGCTATGTCATTCAGGGTCTCTAACCATCGGTTGCTATCGTCTCGCGGATCCCAGCCAGGTAGTCTACACCTACCAACATGGCTCAGTCCACTTGTCAGTGACTTCATGGATTTGTGCCATGTTTTGGTTTGGCCGCCCCTAGCTTTCTTCCAACCTACTCCTATACCATTGAACATCGCACATCGAAGCAGTCGGTGGTTGGGCATACGTAGCACGTGTCCCAGCCATCTCAACTGATGAAGTTTCACCACTTCATCAATTGGTTTGCCATCCTTACCTAGTACCCGTTTGCTAACAACTGCGTTACTTACTCGATGGTCCCAGGATATACGAGCAATGTTTCGAAGACACCTATGATCGAATACTAGTAACCTACGAATATCCTCTACTCTTACTGGCCATATTTTACTGCCATAAAGTAGGATGGAACGAACTGCTGCACAGTAAACACGTCCTTTGGTTGGTAGACGGATATCTCGTCTACGCCATAAATGACGCAAGTTGGCAAAAGCTAGTCGATCCTTCTCTATCCGTGCTGAGATTTCTGTGACCGCAGAAGTGAGAACTAATGTAGAATATAAGTTTATGGTTTCTACACAAGTTAAGCACTTATATTGGAAAGTGTGCAGCTACTGATACAATTTTGTCAGTAGTCGCATAAAAGAAAGTTTGTATATAAAATGCTTCTGTTCAATGTTTTACGAACTGCGTCTTGTTAAGTGGCTTTCGATCAATTTGCGCAAGACAACAAAATGTGGTTATTCTAATGTTCATTGATGATTCGTTAAGGTATCCAGTATTTTTGGAGGACTTTGTGTTGTGAGTAACAACCGATGTATAAGAACTATATAATCCAGCTGAAACCAGGCTCAAATGCACTAGCTTTTATTTGTGTCTAAACATCTTTCCATAATTCAAATGGTTAGTCTGTCATAACTTTTCACACTACTCAACATAGACTGTAGAAGCGATAATCATTCCCTAGTCTCGGTATGTCCATCAGCTCTCCCGCATAGTGTGTTACGAGATGATTCTTAAAAATTCGGAATTCGTTTATAAGGTGTTTTTTCTGTAATAAATCATTCCCAGTGAGCGAGGAAATAGCGTCTTTCATTTGAACGGGAAAGCTTCATTTATTGAAATCTACAAAAGTCAATTTAATTGGAAGGATTATATGTTGATTGCATTCATGATCATTATCGATAAACCCAACAAAGTAAACGAAAAAATTATCAGTTCACCTATAATTTGACAGGCAATATTAAATGTAAACATGACTTCTCAGTTTTAAGAGCATTATCCATCTAAGAAAAATTTTCAGCGTAGCATCGTTTACTAATTTTATGTTGGGATTTTCCATCAAGTATGTAATCGTGTTGCGTTTCATACTCACTTCAAATGATCCAGGTATTTTGGCAAATGTGGGGTCCTCTAGTTGGCATGTTCCACCTATAAAAAATCTTCTTAGTTCCTCTACAACAGAATCTCCTACTGGGCGCCAACAACTCACAGTAATTGAGTGAGCACCTGCAAAAAGTAAATAGTATAATTTTACGCGTCCCATTGGGCTTTTGATGTTATTAACTCACAACTCAAAAAAAATCAATGATAATCGATACTCTGCCGAACTTCATATATTCGTAATATTTCTGTCTCCACATCATAACATTTATTAAATCAATGTACCAAAACATGTCGCTTTTTAATAAGTCACAATGTTAAGTAGTCAGAGGTAGCTTTAGGCTGCGAAATCCAACTAAAATGGGCTGAGTTCTAACGGATCGTTAACTTTCATGGTGTCAGCTAATATGGAGTTTTTTCTTTGTAAGAAACATTGGAATGTCCTAGAGAAGCACCAATGTACAAGTATTAATCATTCTTTTATTTTTTTGTGTACATTTCCTGCTTCGTTGACATGACTTTTGAGTCAAGTGGGTTACTATAGACAGTCAAATGGAATTAATCAAGTTGCATGTCACAAATGTCTGAGATGTTTTTGCGTGTATTTATTCAAGATTACTTGACATTTTAGTATTCGCAAGTGTTTCCTAGTCAGAGTCTATGAAACCGAGCAAATTTATTTAATCTTACCAGCAATGCGCGGAAGTTCTGTGAATCCATACCCTTCAGTTCGACTCCGAGTCCAAAAGTCAAGCGACTGGACTTCAAAATACAGTGTAGGCCATATTGAAACTGGTCCTTTCGTTAAGTCTAGAAGAGGATTAAAGTGTTTTAAACATATATCTCTGTAAATAAAGTTGGTGGTATTTACTCTTACATGATCTGTTGCTTAGAAACGTATATCACTCATCTTGGTTTCAAGTTTTCATTTAGTCATTACCGGTGTTTTCACAGTGAACTGTTATTTAAAACATTTCTCTTATTAATTATGTGAAAAACTACACTTCCAAACACTTTATGTATTTTGTTTGTTTGACATATTTACTTCTGCATTTTTTAGCCTTAGTTCCGCCTGATTTAAAAAATATCATTATTATTATTATATCGGATCTCAAGGGGCTGCTTTTTCAAAAGATTTCCTATTATTCACCATTTTGTAAAATAAGATCTAGATAGATGAAAATGACGTCCACGTAAAGTCACAGACAATAATTTGATTATCCTTTTATTTATTTATTTATTTATTTGAACACATAAATATTGGTACAAGAGAGCGCCAATATATATGCGCCACACAAAACAATGGGAATTCGAAGAGAAGTAGAAAGGAAAAAAAAACTAAGGAACGCAAAAGAAAAAGAGAGTAATGACGAAGAGGTACAATCAGAAGAAATCTTTCAGGTAAAGGAGACACAACCACTTTTTATGAAGAAAGTAAAAGAAGGTTACAGCAGGATCGCCACTGGCTTCTATTCTGAGCCATATCTGATAACGTCTCTAGCCACTGTGTTGCACCATCTCTCGGACCCCAGCCAGGGAGTCGTGAAGGACCAACACGAGCCAGTCCTTTGCAGCTTTCTTTCATGCCACGACACCATGTCATGCACTGACCACCTCTCCGCTTCTTCCAACCAGTCCCAGAGTCGGCAAATAATGCACGACGTGGAATTCTCTGGGACGACATTCGGAGAACATGTCCAAGCCACCGAAGTCGGTGTTTCAAGATGGTGACACCAATTGAGTTATCATCTCTGTGCCCGAACACACGATGCCGAACCTCTGCATTACTGACATGGTGTTGCCACTGAATGTCAGCAATCCTTCGGAGACAGCGATGATCGAACACAGAGAGTCGTCTAACGTCCTCAACTCGGAGAGGCCAGGTTTCACAAGCATAGAGCAAAACTGCTCTCACCGACGCGTTGTAGATCCGGCCTTTTACAGCCAGACTAACATCACGAAGGCGCCAAAGGTGGCCCAGATTGGCATAAGCCACTCTGGCTTTCACTATTCGTGCATTGATCTCATCACTCACACCCCCACCAGCACTTATGATGCTACCCAGATACACGAACTTCTCAACTACTTCTATCTGCTCACCATCCAGGGTGAGTACAGGATTAGAATCCTGCCAGTCTTGTAGAAGTACTTTGCACTTCGAAGGTGCAAAGCACATACCATACCTACGGACATTGATTGCCAACTGATTAAGTGCGGATTGCATGCCTTGGGCATTATCGCACAGTAAGACAATATCGTCCGCATACTCAAGGTCGAGAAGTCTTTCTCCAGGCAACAGATCCACACCACCATTACTTACATCCATCAGAGCTGTTTCCAGAATGTCATCGATGGCAAAGTTGAAGAGGAATGGTGAGATTGGGCAACCCTGCCTAACCCCACTGCTCGAATGGAACAATGGAGAGAGGTGGTTGTATGCCCTCACTCTGCCTGAGGTGTTTTTATACAGGGCTTTTAGGATGTTAATGAACTTCTCATGCACACCCTTCTTCAATAGACAATCCCAGAGAACAGTCCTATCCAACGAATCGAAGGCAGCCCTGATGTCAAGAAACACTACGATTGTTGGCCTTTGAAAAGTATGGCGGTGTTCTAACATTTGGCGGAGGGTGAAGATATGATCAATACATCCTCGACCAGAACGAAACCCAGCCTGCTCCTCGCGAGTCAATCTTTCTCGGGTTTTGAACAACCTACGAAGAATGACGGAAGCCAATAGCTTGGACGCAATCGGAAGTAAACTTATCCCCCGATAGTTGTTACAAGAACGACGTGAACCCTTTTTAAAGATAGGGACAACTATCGACTCATTCCATGACGTTGGTACACTCTCTAGTTCCCAAACCTTTGTAAACAACGTCGTCAATTCCTTAGTCAAAAAGTCACCACCATCTTTAAAAAGAGCCGGAGGTAAGTCATCTGGGCCAGGTGATTTGTAACGCTTCAAGAGTTGGAGTTCCTTGCGGACTTCCTCCTCATTTGGTGGATCAGTCGTCACCGGCCATGGAGGGCAGGACAGTCTGACCGATGTTGCCGGAGCAGCAGGCCAGTTGAACTGCCCTTCGAAAAATTCTGCCCATCGTCCAAGACGTCGATGGATGTTAGTGATTGGCATCCCGTCATCCTCGCAGATTGTTTCACTCACACCAGACTTCTTGCTGCCAGTGGCTCGGATGAGTTGGAAGAGCTTCCGGTAGTTACCAGATGCAGCTGCTGCTTCCAGCTCATTAGCACGCTTCGACCACCAGGCTTCTCGGTCCTTACGCAAGCTTTGCCCGATTTCCTTACGTAAAAACCTTCGTTTATGGTCAAACTCACGGTTACCCGGAGTAGACCGACGGGCTTCAATGAGTTGTAAGGAACCAGAAGAAACCCAGTGCTTAAAAGCGGGACGTTTCGCAAACCCACAACTGACTGTTCCCGCCATTTTCATGGCGTCATGCAATTGCAACCAATGCTCATCTATACTTTTCGGTGGAGTGGTAGCTAGCCTAGAGGCTAGCTCGGTTCGATACTTACTTGCAACAGAAGTTGCAACCAGCTTGCTAACATCAATCCGTTGATGGCGTTCACTTCGTTGTCCACTGAAAAGTAAGGCAAGATTGGCGCAGACCAAGGCATGGTCAGAGTCCAGATAGGTACTCCAAAAGGAGCGGCAGTCTTGTACACAACCACGCCAGCGGTAGCTGATCGCGATGTGATCAATCTGAGTCCAGGCTTGAGATGCAGAGGGAGGACGCCAGGTGGCACATCGGCGATGACTGTGCCGAAAGTTAGTGCTAGCCAGAAACAGGTTGTGGTCTGCGCAAAGTTGCAGTAGACGGTCCCCGTTATCTGACCTGCGACCAACGAGTCCCCATCGGCCACCTAAACGACTCTCTTCTGTGCCTAGACGCCCGACCTGAGCATTCAAGTCTCCGGCTAGTACTACAATATCTGTCGAACGCTTTTTCTGGAGAAGAACTGATAACTGGTGGTAAAACTCATCCTTGATTGCATCCGGGCTGCAATCTGTCGGGGCATAGGCGGAGATGACGAAAAGACATCGTTTCTCACGTCGATTTCTTCTCACTTTGATGGAACTTTCTAATCTAACAGCACATAACCGACTGTTAATGGGGATCCAATCGACTAGTGCTGTCTCAGCTCTAGCGCTTAGTGCGACACCAACGCCAGCAAAACCAGACGAAGATGCCACAGGGTCCCCGGATAAGCGCACGTAAAACAAGCTTTTCGAAGCGACAGATGGAGATCGAATTTGTAGTACTTCGCCAGAGTCTTGAATACGGGTCTCGGATAGACAACACACGTCGATATTAAGACTTTCCAAAGACATAGCCAGCCCTATCTGTTGTCCGACCTGCATAAATGTGCGAACGTTGAAGGCAGCCAGTTTGAATGATGCACGTGGTTTCAGAAAATCTGCTTCAGTCCTCGTATTCGGTGGTAACATACAATTTTCAACCGGACAGTGACTCGAGAACGTTTAGATACAGTCGTAATTCCACCAAAGACGAGCCGCTGTATAAGTATAAAAGAAGGTGAATAATGTGGAAAATAATAATAATAATGATAATAATAACAATAATGACAATAATAGTAGTAATAATAATATTATTATTAATAATGACAATAATTGAAGTGATCATAATTTGAATCAATTGATTGTTTTGCAAAGCGACAAAAGTAGTTTCCATAGACATAAACAGTTCATCATTTGTGTGTGGGCTGTGATACTGCCCGGGTGCCCAAACCTTGCTTTCTTGGATGGTTTGTGCGATCGACAAAGAATAGAATAAACTCACACCATTTAAAGTTGAAAGTAAATGACTCTTAATTCCTCTTGCAAATGCTTTTTATTCATGAACCTCATTCTCTTCCATCATATATTTTATTTTTCACTAGGATATAGTATTAAGGTCGTTGTTTCGATTACACATTCTGAGATCTTCATACAGTATCCATTCGTACCATATTGAATAAAGCGAGTATTTTTGACATGTATTTACGCTAAACCAGTGCTGACATGCTCAGATAAAAATATGACATTATTTAGGTCAATATTTTTTGCATCAGTTCATTATAAATTTCGATCAGGGAGACGGGTGTGAACTTCGTTCAGTGGGACGATTGTATTTCCCGCATCCATTAAAGTAAACTGTATCAAGTACTCGACGAAGTTTCCCCTATGTGTTATATTATTGAGTGTAAAAATTAGTATGTAAGTTATTGTATTTTGGTCCAATGACGACTTGTTTGAAGACATATTTTTGGGAAATAATGAATCTTAATTCCATCAGTGTTTTGTGTTTTTAATTCGCTCTGTGGGAATTGCAGTTGTTCCCGTTTCCAAGTAAAAGCGGTAAGATTGCGGACACAACCAAGTCAACATGCACATTAACAGAGGAAATATAACAAATACATTATTGGTTTATACAATTAAATATAATTTTTCGGAAGTGTGCAACAGTTTGGCAATATCCTGTTATATGTTAGTTTTACTTACCGATACTTATTTCAGGTTTATATGTTAGGTCAAATTCGATCGGATGCGAAAACATAATTATTTCTTCCTAAAAGAGATAATTTCAGAATGTAAAAGTAACAAATTGTTAGGAAATAAGTTGTCAGAGTCAGTCGATTTATTTCAATCAGAAAGGTAACAAAGTTTGTATTTCACTTTCGTAGAATTTCTTTCTTTACAAAATATCGAACTCTTTCAATGCTTTCCAAAAATCTCAGTTGGAAACTTCGATACATATACATACCATGATGATTCTGTAGAAGGAGCCTACAGTTAAAAATCAGTACAAATCATATTGGATAATCGAAATGTAACGATTTAGTCTGCATACCATCATTAAAATAAACTAAGATATTTTATATCTAATCCAATGGTATACAGATATCAGAGTTGACTTACGTTTCCATAATTTTTGATAGAGGCTATCTGGGAACTTCCACATAATAGCTTATGATCATACGCTTTCCAGTCTGAAATAATATGGTTCTGTTAAGTACGAATTCACTTTGTGGTAATTCAAGATAATATTGTACATACAATCCAGGGTTTTCAAAGTTAGTCGCACCCACTAAAATAACTATTAAAAGATAACTTACTTATCTCTCCAGCGATAAAAAGCCTGTAACTTTGTTCATTTGGCTATGCATATGTTAGAATTTTGATCGACTACATACCATTTCAAACTGTTTGCCGATGGAGGCACAAAAGTGAGAATGTTTTCGAAGTGTTATCTACATGTTGCGTTAAAGTTACGTTCTAAATCCACCTCTTTATCCATGTTTCTTATTTTCTGTTTGTCCAGATCAGACATTTGAAGTGAAATATTTTCCAACGTAAAATAATATGACCCTAAGAGTATGCATTTGCCAGTAGCAGATTAAACCTTTTTGTTTGCTTTTTATTTTGTACTTAACAGACCCGCGAGTAAAATCAGGTTTGCAACGTAAAAGTCCATTAGAATCAATAGTTATCTTGCAGAGGATTTCTTCATTGCCCATATAAAGAGGCGATAAGTCTGCAGCATCATTTGGAATATCACTACTTAAATCGGCCATTATATACATCTCTTGGGTTATTCTAGTAGGTAGATGACTAACGTATCTATAATAGTCAGGAGGAAACTCCAACAACATTTCATTTGTTGGCATAGGACTTCAGGTTTCGACACTGATTAATTAATACTTACTTCGATAGATTGTCTAGTTTTAACTGGATGTTAGATCTTCGTTTCTCAGGATATGAGATAGTTCCAATGCCATCCACGAATATCTAAGAAAATCTATAACAAAAATATCACATACGTCTCTTTCTACTGATATTTCGTCCTTATGGACATAAGTAAATAATCTTTTTGTTGGGAATCCTGAACCTCTTCGTATATTTTTAGAATAATTCGGACTCACTTCATATTGCTTATTTCCTTGTTGTAAAGTAGTTGCGTTTCAGTCGTACAATTTTTCCGGTCCCTATAAAGAGCCTTTTCTTTCTACAAAATTGGAAGTTAGATATGAAGATTTCGTAAAAGCATCAAAAAGGTGGAAAAATACATCTTATATATATTAGTCGTTGTAATGCAATATCTGGGAGATTATGTTTTCTAAATTTAGATGGGTGCTAATGCTTCAATTGCTGTCTTCACTGAAATATAGTGCTACCATAATCATTAAGAAACATTGATCCTCAAATATTTTATTACTATATATTATTTTATTTGGACCCATAAACATTGATACAAGGGGGCACTAAATACATATGTGCCACAATAATAATGGGGCCAGTAGCAGTTATCATTGACTTATATGAGGGCTGTGATACTGCCCGGGTGCCCAAACTGAAGCAGGTGGCTTCGTTGGGGGTCCACACCCCAAGCCTTTGATCTGAAGGTAGATCTAGTTCTATAGCCATAAATCTTAATCTAGCTTTATTTGAAAAGGAGAGCGAGGTAATGGTGCATTGATGTTTTAGCTTCATATCACTGGAATGTAGTAGTGCACCCATTGTTCAGAATAATCCACTCGATTCTGATGTTGGACCTGTTTCTCGCCTCTCAATATACAAAGATATCCGTTTTCTAGTTTTTTTGTTAATTTTAGTACGTACCTTGTCATGGGGAACACAGTTAGTTTATAGTGACACACAGGAACTGTCGTAGTTAACAATAACATCAAGCATCCAATGAGAAGTAATCGATGCACTTCAAGTGTTTGTTGTGAGTTTGCCATTCGGAATATCCTAAACTTGGTCACCAACTACATCTGGTTATCATCTTTATATAGGTTTCTCACTGTGTGGCAGATTATTTGTAGACACCTGATACTGCTGGGTCGTGAAATGCGGACGTTACGAATTAATTTCTTTAAAATTTACACGTAGATTTCTATTGGTTTGATAAATTGAGGTACTAGGTGAAGCAATACCTAATCTTAATCCAATAATTTTTTTGTGGACTGCATTATCGGTTTCCAGGTTGAAATATTCAGAGTTCTTAAATCATCACAAGATATACAAGTACAATTTCAAAAGTCAAAGTGCTGAAAACTAATGAAACTAAGAAATCAAATAAGTTTCGTGAAAGCTACATTTCAACCTATAAAGGCACTATCCTGATCACAAGATGTACGTAAAAACTTGAGGATTCATAGTTTAAATGATCGAATTCGCGTATTAGTAACTTTGTACTTCCGTTCTAATGATTAAGCTTTTCGAGTCGATAGTTGAACTCTGTTACTTTCAAAAGTCACTTCATTACCTTACATGAATCAATAAGTACACATGTGAAATATTGTAGAGAATATACCTTTGGGAATTTCTCATATATTTTGCAAATTCCAAGATGAAGCACCGTGCGAAAGCTATGACAAATTTTTATACAACGTAAAATGCCGACAGTACATCATTATCAACGCTAATGTAGACGTTCTCCGATATTAGGGGATGGACTTTGAGGAATAATAGCATTACTTCTATTGCTTAACAGGGGTTCAGATGCGTCGATAGCATCAAACTCTGTGAAGACTATATATTTGTCGAGTAGCTCCACTGAGTCATCCATAAACACATGCTTGTACCACACAATTTTGCCAATGGTTACTTCTCGACAAAATTGGCAAATAGTATGAGTGTTTGGATTTCCTATAGCGTAGACACAAAAACTGCATTGTGATGGACAGGCATTTATTTGCAAATTAATTGCGCCCCTTTAGTTGCCGAAGTCGTTAGTCGTACCTTTTCTGAAGAGCCCTAGAAACCACAGATATAAAGATTGAGTCAAAGGAGACACGAATAATGTTGATGGTCAATCGTAAGTTGTAATTCCTAATCGTTATTGAGAATAACACATTTATCACGGAAAACGTCTGATGACGGTCTTTCTTATCGCTTATGAAAGCTTGTATAGTAGTTTTCTGGATATAAGTCATGACTCGTTACTCGATAAGTTTCAAGATTACCAAAAAACAGAAAAAGTGCATGCACTAACATATGATTCACAATATATTTGAAAGTGATTGAAGTGCACCCCAGTCAACAATTCTTAATGCCACATAATCGAATGATACTCAACGATGTCCCCAACCAAAACTAAATTGCATTCACTTGTTAGGTACCACGTAAATAAATGGATGAAAAACCTCTTGGTCTTTCAAAGTTGCTTGAGGATCAGATAGGTTTTTCTGTGCCTACTTTCCAAAACCTCATGAAATAAGATGATTCTCCAGCTTAAGGCCATATATACCTACTAAACAATAAATTTAAGTTTACATAAACTTATATTTGGAATATATTCCATACAGCTTGGTAAAACATTTTACCAAGCTGTATCTCAGACACTTCTTGTGTGGACACATCTCTTAATTTTTTTAGAGTTTTTTTTTCACAAAACAATTCACATTACTAACAACATTTTTACTCTTGAACACACTTACTGGACTGAAAATCTTTTCCTGCCAATGAAACACATACTCTTCTTCCAGGTACTGCTCCTCTGCCTTACTCCGCCGACAGAACAATTTAACCCTGATTTAGAAAATTAATCTATTTGATACCTAATGGAAAAATTCCGCAAAGGACCAGTTATAACATAAGTTTCAGAGTCAAATCCATCCATGACTGCTTCGCGCGCCCAAATAAAGGATCTCTGTGGCAACGGCAGTTAACGTTGTGGAGATGGTTGATGAAAACTAATTCCGTTGGAAATTTTCTTATAACCACAATCTCAGTTCGCATAGGCCATTGTTATTGACTATTTTAGCACTAGGAACGGTAGAACAGAAGCGACCGTGGGCTTGAGATATTTGTTTATTCGGTTCGTTGGAACGATAGTTTTGTTTGGGCAGTTGTAGTTATCCGGACGGTGACCAAGCAAAGAATTTGTATCCATCTTATCATTAAATTTAAGTTATTGCCTAAGTATAAATCTTCAGTTACATTTTGGGTCCTCTCACATGACACGCCTGTGGAGGTATATCAGTTTCAGTTTCAGTTTGGGAAGGACAGGAGGCCTGATGACCTGTGTTAGTCCTGTCAATGGTGGTCTCTCAGTTGATCCAACTTTATTTTGAAAGGTTCGACGGATGGAGCCTCAACCACGTGCTGAGGTAATGAGTTCCACTCGTTGATGATTCGATGGGAATGTCGATAGTCAGATGACAACTAATTTGTTCTTGGCTTGTGAACTTTTTGGAGTGTCCTTGTAAATTCTCTGTTTTGGAAGACAAGAAGAATGAGGGCATATCAAGTGCAAATTTGGCACTAAGCAATTTGAAAACTGTAATCACGTCGCCTCTAGTTCTGCGATATGACAACGGGAAAAGGTTCAGCTTGGCCAGTCGAGGTTCATACGGAAGCTTCGCTACTCCGGGAATCAGCCTAGTTGTTGTTCTCTGAGCCTTTTCCAGAAGCTCACTGTCTTGTTTTAGGCAGGGGCTGGCCGCTTGTATGCAGTACTCAAGTTTAGGACGTACGAACACTGTATACAAAGTCAAAAACGTCTTAGCGTCGACATGACTAAAAGCCCTACGTATTGACCATAAAGTTCTAAAACCTTTGGGGGCTATTGCACGGCAGCGTGCAGTAGTCTTGAAGTCTTGGCTAACGATGACTCGTAAGTGATTGTGCGTAGCTCAGTGTTATTTATCATGCATGTATCTGTACCTTGATGACTGATACGCATCGCAATACACTTGGAAGTATTTATCGGCAACTGCCAGGTTGGAGATCATTCAGATAATTTCTCCAGGTCGTTTTGGAGTTCTAAGCTATCACCCTTACGTCGTATCGTTCTCCATATCTTGACATCGTCAGCATATAGCAAGACCGATGATGATAGGAGACGAGGAAGGTCATTTACATACAAGAGGAATAGCACTGGCCCCAAAACTGTACCCTGGGGCACTCCACTAAGCACAGTTCCCCAGCTAGATAACTTTGAGTTCACCCGTACTCTTTGTTGGCGCCCAACTAGGAAGTCTTTTATCTACATTAACAGATTGTCTCCAATTCTAACATTCCTTAGCTTATATAACAGCCGGTTGTGCGGAACCTTGTCAAAAGCTTTGCTGAAATCAATGAAGGCCACGTCTTCACATAACTTTTGGTCTTAAAGAGCTCAACATCTTTCACAGGCCACTAATAAGTTAGTGAGACAAGAGTAACCTATTCTGAAACCGTGCTGCTTCTCCGAATGGATCCGGTTTTCATCGAGATACTTAAACAGCTCCTTCCGAATAATCTTTTCTAAGATTTCAACAACCACACTAGTTAGGCTAACGAGGCGGTAATTCTCAGGTTTGTGTTTCGTACCTGTTTTGAAGACAGGACTTACTATGGCGTTTTTCCTGTCTTTGGGTAAACGACCCTGCGTTACGGATAGGTTAAAGCATATACTTAAAGGGTTCGCAACGAAGTTAGATAATTCCTTCAGTAGCCTAGAGTGTAATTCATCGGGCCCCGTGCATTTACCTATATCAAGCTTATTTAGTAGACCATAAAATTAAGCTTTTTAAGTCTACAGCGTTGACACTGGCCTCATTATTTTTTCCTGAAAATGCATTGCACTAAAGGCAGCCGGTCAATCATCCACACTAGATGACGTGTGACTACGCCGTGTTGTACTTCCTATGCATCAACTATTCAGCCCAAACCGTATATGCTTTGAAAAATTGACCATCTCCCTAATATATCTTTGAACAATTCAGTTCTGACTGCTGGTTTGACTGACTTTAGAATCTATAGTTGGAACTATGTTGACGACAACAACTTTGTCAAGCCCTGAATATTCATGACATTTTAGAACTGCACTCGGCATGACATGGTACACAGAACGGAGAACTGTGAGTATGTTCCTCGCCGTAACGTTCTATGCATACTTTTACATTTTGCGATATTACTTTTGTGTTCTCAAGTTTTTTCATTCTTATCCACCAATATTGTTTTGGCCTGACAATAACAAGGCTTAGTCCTGCCATGCATGAGCCAACTTCCACGAACGCAACGTAACAACCCCACGTGTACAGTTATTCGCAAAAGTGAAGAGACTACAGTGCTAGTTTAACAGGTAAGTGACACCTAACGTGTTTACTATTGATGCTTCAGAACTTTGTGACACCCTTAAGAGGCTATCCTCAAGCATGGACTTAAAGTCGATAGACAAAGGTTAGATCATCTTTTCCACAATATCGAAGTGTGACGTGGCTCGGCGACAGAAACCGTGTCACGTTTGCGAGAGGTCACTGGACAACGCGTTTTCAGCGAACGTCTTTTTACATAACTCCTGTCTAAGCTTCTCCAAGAAGTGCAAGAGGTTTTCCTTTTCATCCCAAAACAACTCTGTGGATGAAATAGTTGCATCTCTCGACCGGAATCTGTAGATCATAAAAACAACAAGCGCGGGGGTTCGTCTCATCGAGGAAAGGACTCATTCAGTTTAAATCAAAATTACAGATTACTGTAATAAAGCCATTAATAATAATAATAATAATAATAATAATAATAATAATAATAATATTAACACGCGTTCTCATAACACTCAGCTTGATCACAGATGATACCGCAGGCGACGAACAGGACGTTACTCGCAGACCGATTCTTTGTGGTTTTCTTGCTTAGGATCTACTCAGAGTAGAACGGATCATTATCTCTTAGAATTACAAGAGTAACATCCTTCTAGAATCATCAGCGTATACATGGTATATTTTTCGCTGTATGGTAAAATCGCAGTTTAACAAGTTCAAAGCATATATGATCATATATATGACTATGTATCTTCTTCACTATCTTACAGAACCACAACCTCGCACTTCCAAAATATGTATAATCATAGATAATGAGAAGTTGTACTTTATATTTTATATACTTCTTTAATTTGTATTTGGTTGCTACAACTCACATACTTTCCCGAATTACTGGTTCTATTGCGACCTCAATCAATCACTTCCAAATATACATAATCGTACATAATGAGGCATAATTCTTCTAAAATTATGATTTTATATGCTATCCCTTAAATTGTATTATCAAATTGAATTGCCTGTTCAACTTAGTTTGTCAAAGTTTTCGGTCAGTACGTTTACCTGAAATACTGTTTCATACATGTAAGTCATAAATTATCGTGTTAATTCTAGATGGTATAAATTCGCGTTAAGTCTGTACATCACCATACTCGGCAAATTTAAACTAATGCCAGTCTGCGTTTTATATATGTACCACGTACACTTCTCATTTTAATCATCTGAGCTCGAATATAGACAGCTCAAAATTATTTTGATATACTGGGCATCCCCTTCCATAACATCTCGAAATAAAAACTTTTCACATGTGCATGTTTTTGTGCTATTTTACATTTAAACACATGCTTACATACTTCGCCTCCACTATGATTTTCATGACATTACCTCCGCTTGTATTTGTCACTAATATTGCTTATTTCATTCTCATATTTGTTTGCGACATAGGCCTTGACTTCCGATTTGATTTGACCCCTCTACTTTGCACCACCATCTTTATTTTAATGCATTTGTCCCCATCGGTTTGCTACTAATCACTTCACTTTCATGCCTTGGAAATCTTTTAAAGCTCATCCAGCTTGCCATCCAGCCAAACGCAGAAAAATGACATGATATAACACTTCTATCGACACAATTTTCCAAAGTTGTAACAACTCGTGCTTTTGAAGGTTGTGACTTTTTTCGCACGTGGTTTTGTTTTGTTCTCCTATTAGTTTTTCCCTTTCATTTACCAACATTTATTAGCGAAAAACACTTCTGATAATTTGACACCTCGTCTTGGGACTCAACGTCGAACAATAAGTTCGTTAGTTTTCACGCTGTCCATCACTTTTCGTTCATTTACTTTAACATATTAGGTCTTAACAAATATTGGATTTCATCCTACCATAGAACTTTATTAATCTAATAAGTTCATTTATAACAGTTGCTGTTCATCTGATACAAACCTGATATTTACATTACTTTCAATTATGTCTAGGCCATCTAAAAAACATATAATCTCTCCTGATGCCTATAGCACCTGCAAAAGATCTAAATTAGTTACTAAAGCGAATAATGTGAAACCTTATAAACACACTTATCAGTTTTCATCCTACTCTGATCTTCCGACAGTTACACTAGACGTGCACCGTGTAATTGGGCATGAAATGTCACTAACTTGTATCTAACTTGTACATATAAATAAGAGTACTCATATTCCGTATGAGTCGACTTCATTTGTCAGTCCGAACAAAAGCATCACATGTTGTGAGCTGTATTCAGATAGTGCGGTTGGCCCGAAACATACAAAACATCCACAATCCGCCATTATGAGTAGCTGCCCACGGAGTGCATCTGAGCCTATCTACAGTAGCCAGCTCAATGATGTAAATCCCGACTACTCACCCAGATATAGAACTTAGCGTCACCCAAATTATTCAAGACTTATAACCGTACAAATATTTATTCAGCGTTCCAGAAGATCGTGATCTCGAAATTATAAAAAACACTGAAAAATTAATCGACCATATATCATTTGAAGTGTTGAAAAGACTTCAGTGTATGCAGAATGTCATTGTGTATAATATACCTGATGGTACGAGCGTAATGATTGCTAAGAATACTCTACTACATGAATGTGGATTGTCG